GGTAATAATTAATATCTGGTCATGAGCCCGAAATGGGGCTCGACACCAAGAATTACTGACTGACTGACTGACTGGCCGTGAGTCGCAATGTGACTTTGACTTTGTTCGAAAGGATTCGTCAGAAAGACGTTGTTCAAGGCAGTTCAATAATTGATGTGTTAACTTTGAGAGTGTTACAATCGTGAAAGTGTAATAACGAATTGTATTTACGACATGTGAAATTATCCAGTAAATCGAGCTGTCAAATCCGGAACTCATTATTTACTGTTGTGTTACCAGGAAACACGTGACAATATTATATCAGCGAAATTAACTCTGCTAAGACATACTGTCATTCCAAAAACCACACATTTGTATTCAGGTTACTCGAAAAGTGTAAATCCCCCAAAATCTCGAGATTACAATACTTTCTCGTGTACATAAGGTATATACGAAGGTAAAAAATTATGCTTAGACTTAAGCGATCACAACGACAACTGCGCATGTTCCTCTGTCTCCTCCTCGATCTTCCTACAGAAGGGACAGAATTAAAAAAAAAAAAAAACTAAATAGGACACTGGAAGCCTCTACAACTTCATACTCTTTAATTTCCTCTGTTTGATTATACAACATGGCGGACATAGAAGTTTGCTAAGCAAAAATAGCGCTATTTGCTCTAGATAAATGAAGTAGCGTGCGGTAATAGATATTCATTCAAGAAGTTCTGGGAAGAGCTAATCGCCTATTCCCTTGGTACGACACGGACCGCATAGAAAACAACACGATCAACAATTATTATATTTTTACGTGTGTATTCGTTGCTCTGTAACGTTTTTACCGACAAGAGGGATATATACACAGATGGATGGGAGGGATTTATGAAGTATGCCGTTCAGATGAGCTCCTACTTACGTCTTGGTCTTCCCAGTGGGCTCTTTCCTTCTGGCCTTCTCACCAAAATCCTGTATGAGCCCTCTTCTGTCCAACTTGCTGCTTGCGTCATCAATTTCATCTTCCTCGACTTGATTAATTGTATTTGGCCAAGAGTATACGTTATGAATCTCCTTACTATACAGTCTCCTCCGGTCTTCAGTCACTTCATCTCGCTTCGGTCCAAATATTCTCTTCAGCACCCTGTTCTCAAACACCCTCAGTCTATATGTTCCTCCCACAATGCTATTTATAAAGTGTATTCCTTCTGTATGAGGAGCGGCGGTAGCGTAGCCGGTATAGTGACTGGCTACGACTGAACGACTGAAGGCTGGAGTTGGGGTCCAGGTCAAAAATTGTCTCTTCTCCACAACGTCCAGACCGTCTCTGGGGTCCACCCAAACTCCTATACAATTGGTACCGAGGGCTCTTTCCCGGGGGTAAAGCGACCGGGGCGTGAAGCTGACAATTCACCTTCAACTAGTAGCGAGGTCAAGAAAACGTCGTTCTATAAATCCATTCACCCATACGCCTTCATGGCATAGTGACAACTTTGCCTTTACCTGTCTTCCCTTCTATACGCACCGCTTGTTTCAGCATTGAGAAGCTTTACATCTATGTAAATGCACCATAGGACGCCGTTCGAACGGCTCTCGGTGCTGTACCCCAGCGACCTGCTGCACTATGTTATCACTCGATATCTATACAGAAGCACAGACTTCCGTGCAGCTTTCCGTCTGGTTCCTGGTTCAACCATTTCATGTCCCGCTTATACGAGATGTTCCGGTTACGCAACAAACGGCATGGGGACTGGCTATTGGCTGGAAGACAGAGAAGTCGGAATTCGAGTCCTGATGGGGCTCTGGGGCCCACCCAACCTCCTATCCAATGGGTACCAGGGAGTAAAGCGGTCGGGCCGCGATGATGATCACACACCTCCAACTAGTTCCGTGGTCAAGAAAATGTGGATATATACATCCACTGCCCCATACACCTTCTTGGCGTAGTGCTTAATTAGTTAAACACAGGGACAACTGAGTGCAGTAAAAATAATCAGTTTTGTGCGTAACGCGCCACAGTGTACCGGCTCGAGTGAAACAGCATATAAACCTGACGATGATCCTTTGTGGGACCGAAACAGGTAGTGTAAGAAGTGGCTGAATCAGGAACCGCAAGAAACGCAGCCCTCACGGCCGCGTTTCTATACATATGCCAATTGAGCCTCATAAAGTTAAAGTCATGTTTCAACTGACGGTCAGTCATTCTGTCTTGGTGTCGAGCCCCGGCTGGGGCTCATGACTAGAAGTTTCTTTCTTTCTGAAAGTTGCTGTTCTGTCCATTTGGGGCGCCCTCTCTGACGAGAGGTCGGGTCTGTCATTTGTCAGTCATATTCAGTATTTACATCTATTACAATTTAATTCTAGCCTTAATTTCTACTTCTATGTACTATATATGCCGGTCACGGTAGCCGAGCGGTCTAAGGCGTGCACTGTCTTCGCCCGCTCGGAAGCCGGGATCGTGGGTTCGAATCCCACTCAGGGAATGGATGTTTGTGTGCGTTTTTCTGTGGTTGTCTACAGGTAGAGGCCTTGCGACGAGCTGATGACTCACCCAAGGAGTCCTACCGTATGTGTAAGATCTAGTAAACCGAAGTGAAACGGAGAGTTTCATGGAGGTAGGCCTAGGCCCAAATTGAGGCTGCAGCGCAACAAAAAAGAAATATATATATACTATATATACAAGGATACCTCTCTAAGAACCATTTTAATACTGTCCACCCATCTGTCTTGGTCTTCCTAGTGGTCTCTTTCCTTCTGGTTATCCCACCAATATCCTATATGCAATCCTCTTCTCCCCCATTCATGCTACATGCCCTTGGCACCTCATCTTCCTTCACTTTATCATTTTAATTATACTTGGAGAAGAGTACACGTTATGAAGCTCCTCATTATGCAGTTTTCTCACACCGCCTGTCACTAAATACTTCAGCGTTGCTACTAATTCAAATATCCAAGCAATATGAATTCATCTGATTGATTCAAGTGAGAGACAGGGTTAACCCCTGAAACTTCTGTGAAATTTGACAAAGGAATGTACTCCTAGTAATAGCTTAAGTAACTGTTTGCTTAATCCTGGGGGATAAGTACAGATGCACGCCTCTATTTATACACAAGGAACACGGATTTGTTTTACAATTGCATCAGTTTCATTCACTCATTCAATTTAAATATGGGCAAACGTAGCACACGCGGTTCAAAAACTGGCTACTGGGGACGGAGAACGAGCCGCAACAGAGCGGTCGGTAAAAAACTGGCTACGAAGGACGGAGTACGAGCCGGGACAACTCGGTCGGTAAAATACTGGCTACTGGGGACGGAGTGCTTCGCGATAAAGCAGTAGGTATAACAAATGGTTACAGACTGGACGACCAAAGGAAGGGTCGGGGTTCCATTCCCGGAATGGTCAAGAATTTTTTCTTCTCCACTCCGTCCAGAACGGCTCGTGGGCCCACCAAGCCTCCTCACCAATGGTTACCAGGGCGTGAAGCTGACCGCTCACCTCCAACTTGTGCCAACGTCAAGAAAATGTGGATCTATACATCCACTAACACATACGCCTTCGTGACGTAGTGCTTAATTACTTAAACACAGAGTCAATGTTAATTTCTTTACTGGGGAAGTAGTTAAAGTCTCAATAGGCGAGGGAATTTTATCCTTTTCGCATAGTCCAGACTGCAGGGTCCCAGTTACGAGGCTCCTCATTATGCAGTTTACTCCAGCCTCCAGCCACTTCATCTCTCTTCGTGCCAAATATTCTCCTCAACACCCTGTTCTCAAACACCATCAGTCTATTTTTCCCCCTAATGTTAGAGAACAAATTTCACAACGACATAGAACAACAAGAAAATTAGTTTTGTATATTGTACCCTCGATATGTCTCACATAAAAATCCCTACGCAATATATGATGTTTCCTGGTTCCTATAATGGACTAAATTGTCCGAACGCTTAATTAATTACGCGTCAGGCCCTGACGATACATTAGGGCGTGTAGGTACAGGCAAACATTTCTTGGCCTCAACACCAGACAAAGGTGAGTTACTTTACTCCCGGGGACAGGGCCCTACATACACACCGAAAGATGCTGGCTGGTTCCCAGATCCGGTATATACGGTGTGACGCAAAGAAAAATTCTATCCTCCGCCGGGAATCGAACACCGGCCCACCCACTGAGCTATGCTAGCCACCTTCGAGGACATCCACATTGCTAAATCAGCAGGCACTTTGGCACGCAGACTTTGTCCCGTGATATTCCCAAATGATCTCCACAGAAAGAGGCAGGCAATAGACGAATTAGTAACAACAGCCACAGTTAATGACAATGAATACCTAACGGTTTAACAAATTCACCAGAAATAAGCATTCCACTGCTGGGTCTGAAGGCGCCTCAGTACAGTCCTCCTCACAATTCTATGCAAGTTTTGAAGAAAGAAAGTTCACAGTTTCAATGATGAGTTACCCGTCGCCNGGTAACGGGGGCACCTTGCCCGGAGGAAAAGCGGCCGTGGCGTGAAGCTGACCATTAACCTCCAAGTATTTCCGAGGTCAAGAATATGTGGATCCATACATACACTACTCTATGCGTCTTCATGGCCTAGTGCTTAATTAGTTAAGCAGTGGGACGGCTTTATCTTTTCGCTTTAGAAGTATGGGGTTTGCCACACGTACACAAGTAAAACGATAAAAAGTAAGAGGCAGTGGAGGCCTGTGAGATGTCGAGGCTCGGACATTTTTTAGACATTCGACTAAGTGATGGCGGTGAGGTCGTCAACCTTACGCGCTGGCCTCCATTTACCCCCCAGGAAGATACCAGGCACTATTTTCTGTTAGAGGCTGAGTCGAACCCAGGGCCACAGTACGACTGAAAGGATTAGGTAAAGTGAAAAAGAAATCCAATGACCTCATCAGGAATATAAACCAAGACCTTCCAGCTTGTAGCACAGTGCCTCCTCCATAGTGCGTGTCTCCTCGTGTTGAGAGTACTTTTGAGATGACTGTACTGATTGTAGCGCCTCCACCACAGATGCAAAACTGACCCTCTGACTGATATAGAATCATCATCACTTGCTGTGTGTTCTCAGAGGGAGCAGGAGAAAGATCTTGTGCAGCCCTGAAGACCACAATCTGAACGAGATATAGAAGAAGACGCTGAACAGCTGCACCAGAAATTCAGAGTAAGTCAAATATTTCAATTTATGAGATTTGACATTACGGGTTGTTTTCAGTATAGGAATTTAAGGGATATTCCACTAAACTGAATTAAATAGTATGACTGATGAAAAGTACGCGCTTCTGGGATGTGACGCCGTGTGGTCCTGTAGAAGGTCATTAATATTTATGCCTAACAATAGGTCAAAATATAAATCTCTACATAACACTGATAACAAAATATACTTAAAATATTATTAGTTAAGGCGTGTCCCCATTACTCGTGCTCGTGTTGCTCCCTATTCTCGCGAGTAATGCGGACGATATGACAAGTTAAGAGACAGGCAAATTTTTAAGATTAATTTAGAAACTACAGCCAATAAATTAAAATACGACTACAGTCTATAAACATTACGATTATATATACGGAACTTCACGCGCCGAAGCCTGGCGAGCAACTTAAGTAGTGTGGACGAAGGTTTACGCGTCTCCAGATGAGCACAAGAATGGCGGGCACGAGCACGAGGAATGTGGACGCGCCTTTAGGCGCAGGGACAACCAACATTTTTTCTTTTACCATTTTTCGTCAACTGGGTGTTCACCTTACGTGTATAACCGTTGCAAATGTTCTATGGTTCCCAAAATAGACTTTAATTACTTTTCTAAAAAGCATAAATAGATTGTTGCTTAGTACTGGAAATGCACTCTGCTTTCTGTGAGGTAGCAACTGAATTCTTGGTGGAAGTACGCACAACCAAACTGACCATATTTTGATAGATCATCATCATCATCATCATCATCATCAGTAATCTGTCAGAGGACAGGTCCACAGACTATCGAAAACAGTTCCTACACTTAATGCGATCTACATCTTTCTCCTTCAAATGAGATATCCTCTTCTGTCCCCAAGGTCATCCAGCATTTTCTTACGTCTTCTTCCTCGTCTTCTGGTCACTTCTATCTGCCCCTTTATCTTTTCTTCAATAACTTCTTTTAGGAGGCAGTTTCTGCGTAAGCTATATGACCAATCCAATTAGCCTTCCGTTTTCTTATTTCGTGTAGGATATTCCTCTGCTCACTGACTCTAAATAACACTTCTTCATTTCTAACATAATCGGTCAAACTGATCTTCTCCATCCTTCTCCAACACCACATTTCGAAGCTTTCCAGGTGTTTCTGATCTACTGCCTTAAGTGTCCAAGTTTCAGCCCCATACAGAGCTATGCACCAAATGTAGCATTTCACTAGTTTCTTTCTCAAATTTAAGTCCAATTTGCTGGTAAAAAGATTCTTCTTCTTGCTAAATGCAGCTTTTGACATGGCAATTCTAGATTTAATTTCACAAGTACACCTTCCATCATCTGTAAACAAGCTACCCAAATATTTAAAACATTTCATATTCTCCAGTTGTTTTTGGTCTATCTTTAGTGTGACTGGGGTTGGTTGTCTCGTAATTTTCATTACTTTTGTTTTTTTCCACATTCATTTCTATGCCAGAGCACCTTCCAATTTCGATTAGTCTATCAATCATACCCCGTAGCACAGTTTCTTCCTTAGCCATTAACACAAGGTCATCTGCATATTTCACAGTTTGAACAATTTGCCCTCCTAATCCAGAGCTTCCTTGGTAAGGCATTCGCTGTTCAAGTTCAACAAAATTCGTGATAAACAGCATCCTTGTCGAACTCCTTTTCCAATCTTAACACTTCTTGTTTCCCCTCTGTCCAGTCGCTCTCTAACTTTCTGATCCATGTACAATTTACTAATCAATCTTCTCTCCCGCCAATCGATTCCTTTTGGTCCAATTTACGCGGTCAAATGCCTTCTGCCAGTCTATAAAGTAAGCACACATTTCTTCAGCTCCTCCAAAGTTCGTTCTGCTTAATTCTCATTATCCCAATTGCATCCCTGGTTCCTTTTCCTCTTCTAAATCCAAACTGATCCTCTCCAAGTATATCCTCTACTTTCCTTTCAATTCTACTTTTAAGTATCTTTGCAATTATCTTTGGTGTATGTGCCATAAGGCTTATTGTGCGATGGTCGCTGCATTTTGTAACATTTGTCTTTTTTTAAGGCAGTCATTGTCACTTCTGTAAAGCCCTCGGGCCACTGCCCAGTTTCATATATGACATTTATTATTTTTCTCAGTGTTTTCAAACCACCTTCTCCCAGTAACTTAAGCACATCTCCAGCTACATCATCATCTCCTGTAGCCTTTCCATCCATCATGTCCTTGATAGCTTTTTCCACCTCACTTTGTAAAATATAAGGTCCTTTCTCGTCTGTATCTACTTCTTCCGGTTTCACTTAAAGGTTTCTTGCCCAATAGGTCGATCATACAGTTCTGTAATACAATTTTCCCAAATTTTCAGCACTTGCCTCTGATCTACTATTCTATTCACCTGGGAGCCTTGTCCAATACTACGTACATGTGGATTTACATGGTTTAGGATTACTTCTGCCTGTGTCCTGTATAATTTAAGGAATTTTGATAGCCACGTGCAATTCTCGGACTGGTGTGCACCTGTCAAGATTTCCACTAGCGCGGAGTGCTCTGTTCTAGAGGCGCTGCAAATTGAAGAGGTAAGCGTCCGTCGCATTATACCAGGTGGGACTCGCAAGAGTCATAACTCACACACTCAGAGCTTTGTAAAACATAAGCTTCATATTAATACTTAAAGGCCCACTTGTGAACACAATTGGTCTGTACGTGGCCAAGCCAATGGCTACAGCACTTTCGAAGAGGTATCTCCATGTCGTCTTCCTGTCGAAAGTAACACCGAGATACACTGCATTATTTACAAAGTAATATTCTGTCCGTTTAGTTATAGTACGTCGTCAGGGACTCTAGAAGAACACACAGATCGCCTACTGCTTTCCTTTCAGTCGTCTTCATGTTCCAGCGCTTATACCATGAATTCACTGCAGTGAGTCCGCGCTGCAGTTTACAGAGAACACGACGTTCCTGTTTCTCTGCTGTGTAAATATAGGTATCGTAAGCGAATAGAGTAAGATTAGTTACAGGTAACGCGGGGATATCATTTACGAACAGATCGCACAATACTGGGGCAAGGACGGAACCTTGAGGAACCCCTGTTGATATTTTTCTTGGCGTAGAAAATTCGCATTCTATCAAGACTTTAAATTTTCTGTCGGTAAGAGAACGAAATGATTAGCAATGTTTCGATCCCCCAGTATAGTGTCTCCACGGATCCACAGAAAACACAGCTCCCCATAAGTCCTTTATTGTTGTGTGCATAACTCTTGCTAAGATTACGTGGATATTACTCTTCCGGTACCCCGACGTATTGTCTGACCAGGCTTTCAGTGGGAATGCCATAGTATGAAGTACCCACTGGAGCATAAGTACTGAAAACGTGTTACATGATGAGGTAACTGCTTAGGACAGAGTATTCCACGTAGGGTGGCTCTACAGTAGGACATCATATTCGCTCATAACGTTTTTATGTTATCATAGGGACCTCAAGACGTGAAACAGACGAGCAGATCAGTGAGAAGGACTTCAATTTGCAGTCCGTCTTGTCAAAGATGAGCTCCGATTGGAAAGACAATGATAAATTTCAGAAAGAGCAGACAGGACCATCTGTGGAGCATGGAGAAGAGATGGAACAAGTATGTAGAATATAAGTAGATATAGATTTTAATGTTTAGTTAAGAATACAAAAGAAAATCGATTCGCGGCATTTGTTTTGCGCAATTGTACTATTCAATCGCCGATCACGGTGGCCGCGCGGTCTGAGCCATGAACTGTCTTCCCTCGCTGGACCGTATGGGTCGTGGGATCGAATCCCATTCAAAGAATGGATGTCTGTGTGCGTTTGTTTTGTGTTTATGCTATCCTGTATGCAGGTAGCGGCCTTACGACAGGCTGATCACACATCAAGGGACGGCAAGCCACGTCATACACGAAACTCAACTGAAGCAATGAAAAGCTGTTAGCACAAAATTCAAGACGTTACAGCATGTATACATTACGGCGGGTAGAACAGGCAGGGGAAGGTGGCTATTCAATAGACACAAGTAAAGACAAGGATGATAAGTGAAACATTTTGAAACTGAAGAAAACTTTGGTAGAGTTAAGTTTATCAGAGCGGTGACTATGAAACGTTATACTTTAGGGGAAGCGAAGCCGCGAATTCTAGTGAGAACTTCTACCAGAGCACACGGCATCATGTCCAAGAGAAAAGCACTCTCTTCTAAATTTTATATGTAATGATGAAATTAATTCTACCAATATGATTTGGGGTATACGTCAATTCGAATGACTTTCCATAGCATTAAACACATGCTCTGAAATTAGTTCGAAGGCCTACTTAACCTGTGGACTGACCACAGCAATGACCTGAAGTTTGCAGATCATGAACTGCACCAGGGTGAAACACTTGCTTTCGACAGGGTTCAGAATATACAGAATTGTAAAGGATATACATTTCAGGATCTATGTATACAGAATGACCCAGGAGGAATGGTCAAAGCAAAAACAAAGTGTATATGTACATGTGTTATATTCCGAACTGTCTCCTAGATAGAGCTATTGCACTGTAGACTAGTTTGTATTTGACGTCCGGTATATTTTTCCCTTCCGCCATTCTGCACGTGGCTCTGAAGCATGTGAATCGTTGTGATGCGTCAGTTTGCGTTCTGACTGATAGTGACATTGTTGGAGTGTGGCGAAAAATGCCGAACATCTTCACAAATGCCGATATGCTGTGCGCTGTCCTCAAACGAGCTGCAAATTCCAGTGATGTCGACGGAGACATTTTCGAAAATGTATTATACGTTACTAGGTAAACTGTACCAACTTTGTCACTTTAACAATGATCACCGGTATCAGAAACATTTTCTCTGTCACTGAAACAATTCGGAATAGGACACACATACATATTGTAACTTGGATAGACACAGCGTTGCTAGGTAACTGACAGTTATACATGTCGCGACACTCAAGGCAAGAGTGGGAGTGCGGCGTTTTCTATGCGGTCGGCACTCGCTCGGTAAACATGTTCCAACAATATATAACTAGAATAACCCGTGTAGAGGCTTCGTCGAATTTCTTCACCGTGACCCTGCGAGTCGTCGGAGGCAACGAAAAGGGAAATCTCTAATCTGAGACAGTAAAATATGGTCTCGAGAAAGCCTGGGCTGGCAAGATCCAGCAGCATGTACAATGACAGACCCGTCCTCTCGTCAGAGAGGGGGCCGCAGAAAACAAAACCTCAACTGTGAATCAGTAATAAATATCTGGTCATGACCCCCAGATAGGGATCGAAACCAAGACTGAATGACTGACCGTCAGTCGCAATGTGACTTTGACTTTAAGTTCAGTTTAGTGTGTTTCAGTGTTTCCGTGTATTTAAGTAACAGTAAGAGCGACAGCAGCAGGAAGTTCTTAGGAGATCTGTGAAGATTTAAAATGTGATTTGAAAAATTTAAGTATGAGCAATATTTGGAGTGATTTGAAGGCTAATTTCTGTGTTGAGATACGTCGGACTTTCCGAAACGTAAAAAATTGGGAATGCATAGGGAGTAAGAGCCGGATATGGGGTAGCACCGACCACTCCAGGAGATATAGCCCCCACTGGTGTGAGAGAGAGAGAGAACTTTGGATGATGGTGATACAGCTGGATCTCCTGGCACCTTGGCAGTGAACCGCTAGGGACGAGCTGGCCTTAAGGAGGGAGTGAGCGGATGCAGCGGTTGGAGAACGGACAACGGGAAGGAAATAAACACCAAGCTAGAGAAAAAGAAGACGTTGCAAGCACAGTCCTCGGAAGGAAAGGAAAGGTGATGCACCTATAGGCTATTCGGGACGAACGGCCGTAAGGAGGGAGCAATATAACGTGGATGGTCATAGCGTTGCTAGGTAGCTGACCATTATACGCGTAGCGACCGAATACACGCAAGAAAACAATGGGAGTGCGGCTTTTTTTATCCGGTCGGCGCCGTGACCGTTGCTATGCAGTTGCTCGTTCTGCGTGGTCGGTGCGGAAGTTATATAACGAGAATAACTCTCGCAGTTCGGTTTAATGAGTTTCAATATTTGACAGTGTTTGAGTGTTTTTATGTAACAGTAAGAGCGACAGCAACGGGAAGTTCGTAGGAGACCTGTGAAGATTTACGTAAAGTGTGATTTGAAGACCTTATTTATGTGCAATATAGAGCCGGGATAGCGCAGTCGGTATAGCGCCCGGTTACGGACTGGACGAGAGAGGGTTCCGAGTTCGAGTCTCGATGGGGGCAAGAATATTATCTCCTCCAAATGGTCCAGACTGGCCCTGGGGTCCACCCAGCCTCCTATCCAATGGGTACCGGGGGCCCTATCCCCGGGGGTAAAGCGGCAGGGGCGTGAAGCTGACAACTCACCAACTAGTGACAAGGTCAAGAAAATGGGGATCTATACATCCACACCCCGATACGTCTACATGGCATAGTGCTTAATTAGTTAAGCACAGGGACAACTTTACCTCTACCTTTAATTATGTGTAATATTTGGAGCGATTTGGAGCAGCTGAGATGTGTTACCCTGAGAGGATTAGTGTGTGCGCGGAACAGTGATTTGTGAAGTGTGTAAATGAGCAATAGCGCCCTAATTTAAGCGTGCTTAAGAGAGAGTGGGTAGCCAAGGTGTTAATAAATCCAATCGTCCGAATTAGAACCGTCATGTCGCTAAGCGTAACCTACACCTGGAAATATAGTTTTTATTTTTGGCTTAGAATGACCGATACTACGACCACCCAGAATAGTGACCTTTCCTCCTGGAATATTCTGTAGTCGTACATGAATTTACACATTTTTCTTTATATCCTTAGGAAGAAATTGACGAGGAGGCGAGAAAGCAGAGAAAAAGGAAAATCGACGCTGGAGAGGACACGAGGGAAGGCACTGCTGAACCTTCACACCTGGAACGGAAAGACGATTCAAAGAAAGACACAGAACAAGAGGAAGATGTAAAAATGAGTTGCATGGTTACATGCCCCTTGTATCAAGTACCAAAGGGAACATGCATTTGGGATGGTGACCTCCGAGACTTAAAGAAACATGTGACAGGTACTCACACAGATATTCTGAGGACGGGTTGGCTTTTAAGTTGCAACTCTCTTCAGAGCAAAGTTCTGCTTATACTGTACAATGAAGAAATATTTCTCTACTATAAATGTTGCGACATGAAGCAAGGTATGATGTACGTAGCCGTGCAACAAGCCGGTATTACGAATAGTAAATATAGGTATAGAGTTGAATTTTTCGCACTGGAGGCGGGAGTTCGGAATATTACATATAGCTTCCGTACACACAGCACTAGGGAGTCCATTCAAGATATTTTCGACACACGCAGATGCGTAGCGCTCGATGTCGACCGTTTGAAACCTTTCATCATAAATAATGAATTACATATGACAGTAAAATTGAACGAAATTAATTCACGTGGACGGTCAGATGTCGCCAAGGGAAAGTGCCCTACAGGTGACGATAGCAATGTTTATTCTGAGCAAGGGAAAAGCGATTCAGAAGCAGAAGAAAAGGAATTGGAAATGAGTTCCACGGTCACATGCCCGATGTCTAAAATTCCTCAACAGATGTGTTTCTGGGTAGGTATGGCCGCAAAATTAGAGGAGCACGTGGTAAATACCCATGCGGATGTTTCGTGGAGAGGTCCTGTGGTCGGTTACAACTCTCTCAACGCTGACGCTTTACTGATACTGTTTAACAAAGAAATATTCCTATATCACAGATACATTTCAAAATCAGGTATCATGTACGTAACGGTACAAAAAGTCGGTATGACAAACCAAAAATACACATACACAATGGAGGCTACGGCAACAGACAAAGAAACTGATATGGTTACTTTTAACTTTCGAATAAAGATGATTACCGAACCTTTCAAAGACGTTTTCCATAGCCGCAAATGCGTGGTCATTAGCGCAGATCAACTGAAATTATTAATCAAAAATAAGGAATTAAACATGCTGTTGAGAATAAGTGTTCATGAAGGTAGAGTGTCAGATGTTACTGAGGCCGATTCCTCGATAGGACACGATTCCACCATTTCTCCTAAGAAAGAGCCGAGAGACTCGGACATTGAGACAGAGTTTGATAGGAATTTTCTGTCCACATGTCCACTGCTTAAAATTGCGGGCAGAAGATGTGCCTGGGTTGGTACTGTCGGCAAATTAGAGCAGCATGTGATACAGACACACGCGGAAATTGTGAGACGGCATCCATTTTTCTCTTGTAGCGCCGCAGAAGACAACGTTTTGCTAATACTGCTTCATAAAGAAGTGTTTCTCTACTGCAGACATATCTCAGACACTGGTATGTACGCAATTGTACAGAAAGTCGGTATAACGAACAGGGAATACACATGCAGGGTCGTACTTGTTTCGGTGGATAATTGGAACATCCTGACCTTTGGGTTCCCTGTAAGTCAGATTAGTAAACCTTTCCAAGAACTTCTGGATGCTGGCAAATGCTTGGCTATAAATAAGGAGCACCTGGAACAGTTCACACTAAATGACAAAATTGGTATGTTTGTGGCAATAAAAGTTGTTACTGATGGACGGTTGGCTGTTGCTGGGGAAGAGAGAAAGAGTGTGGGTACTTCTCATCAGCGAAGGAAACGCGAAGCACCGCAAGATTCAGACTCTACAATTATATGCCCAGTGTCCAAAATACCTGAAAGGAGGTGCAACTGGGTTGGAACACTGGACAGTTTAAGGCTTCACTTCACCTGCGAACACTGGGGTATCTACAGGAGCGGCCCTATTTTCCGCTGCGGGTCTTTCCAGAACAAGGTTCTGCTAATTTTATTCAACCAAGAAGTATTTCTGTACTATAAGCATGTTACACACACTGGCATAGTGTACGCGGTCGTGCAGCAAGTCGGTGTTACTAACAAGGAATTTAAGTACACAATAAAGCTCCGGGCAGAGGATGAAACAGTGGAAAACATTACTTTTAGCTTTAAAACAGAGAAGACAAGTGAGCCTCTTGAAATCATTTTCGATGCCCGCAGGTGCATGGCTATGACCGACGAGAGTTTGATACCGTTCGTAGTAAAACATGAATTAAACATGACGGTGAAAATAAGCGAAACTGATGCACACGGCGATAGGCCGACTGTAGTCACTAAGGGAGTTAACATGGGAAAAAAGAAGAAGATGAGACCTCATCAGGAAGAGAAAGCTGGTTCAGTCGCAAAGGGAGACGTAAAAACGACTTCTGCAGTTACATGTCCGTTGTTGAAGATACCACAATATTCCTGCGATTGGGCTGGCTCATTAGAGGATTTAGAGGCTCACGTGATACGCGACCATGCGAGTATTCTGGAGCAGAGTTATGAGTTCGAATGCGGTGCTCTTGAACATAAAGTTTTGCTAATACTACTTAATAAGGAAATATTCCTATACTGCAAATATACCTCACCCGGTGGTGTAACTTACGTAATTGTACAGCAAGTTGGAGTTACTAGAGAAAAATACAGGTATGCAGTCAGTCTTTGTGGAGACCAACACACAGACCATATAATGTTTGAATTCGATGTGAATGAGATTGCTGAACCTCTTGGCAAAGCCTTCGAATCTGGCAAGTGCCTAGCCATCAGGAGAGAACGTCTGCAGCCTTACATACGCGGAGACTGGTTGGTAATGGTAGTGAAAATACAGAAAGTGTTGACACGTGCGCAGACGGAAGGCACTCATATGAATTCCGCTGTTACGTGCCCTTTGCTTAAAGTTTCTGAACATTTTTGCACTTGGGTTGGTAAACTCGGTAATTTAGAGGAACACGTTGAAGACGAGCATGGAGACGTTCTGAGCAGAGGCTGTACTTTCGGCTGTGACTCTCTAACCAACAAAGCTTTGTTGGTGTTGGCTTATGATGAAATATTTCTGTACTACAAATATATTTCACAGATTAGTGTCATGTACGTAATAGTACAGCAAGTGGGCCTTACGAATCGGAAATATGGATACGCGGTAGAACTCAACGCGAACAATGATGAAGATGACATAGTACGTGATTTTAATGCATATAAGATTACCGAGCCCTTTGGGCCCACTTTCAATTATCGCACATGCATGGTTATTCCTATAGATAACTTGGGTCCTTACATAGAAAATGGAAAACTAGCAATGTCTGTAGGAATACACGAAATTCATTATTCTGCGAAGGATACAGTTGAGTCTGAGCCAGATGAGTCTGAGCCAGATGATTCTGAGGCAGATGAATCTGAGTCAGATGTCGATTTTGATGGAAAGGAAGACGAACGTCTTAACAGATCCACGAGGAAGTTTTGAAGAAATGTTTCTCTTTTCCTTACAATTCTTTTCAAGATAAAGCCTTTTTAATATTATTAAAGGGAGAAATATTTCTCTACTATAAACATGTTTCACAGGCGGGTATTATGTACGCGGATGTACACAAGTTGGTCTTACAAAGAACAGATACAAGTACTCAATAGAGATGTCCTCATTACACAGAAAATTTCGCTCCATTAATTTTACGTCTCTTGTGGGCAGGATTAGTGAGCCTTTTAAAGACGTTTTCAATGCTCAAGGGTGCCTGGTTGTTAGTAGTGAAAGGTTCGTACCTTATGTATTATATGATGAAATAAGCATGTTCGTGGCAATATCAGGATTATCTCCATAATGACAGAAAGAATCGACTACATCCTCCGTCAGTGCTAATATCGAACGAGACATGTCAATGGCAAACGTAAGCTGGAAGCATGGGGTGCCATATTAACCAACGTCGACTTGCAAGAGGGTACAGACGCGAAATTATTTTCTGGGACGAGTACAGATTCAAGTTCTCACATTTGGCCTGCCAGTGTTTCTATCTTCTGAGCTCTTGCGTACCAGTTGATATCAGTCGTTAAATAATTCAAATAATGATCATATATCGCGGTGAGCTGAGAATGGTTAGATGACGTAGATCCCCCACCTTGCATGTATCTTCCAAAGTCAAGCATGTTCCAAATTACTAAAAGCGCATAGGAGTTAACTGTATCCTATTAACAGGAGTCGAACTTAGCTTTACATTATGTTTATTTATTTTTGAACCGATCTTCAGCGCTAGCCGGAATTACCAATATTTCAACACAATTCCTCAGATTGCAGTCAACTATTTATATATTTAAAATATGTTTTAATTTAATAAAAAACGTTAATTTTAATTAAATTAAAAATCAAGGTTTGATATTGCTTTCTACTTTCTAACTAAGCAGACACAAGAAAATCACATTATATTAAATCGCGTACAAAAGTGACAGGAGAAATTTAAATGTCATATTTTAACGTTAGTTTCAGGATACCTTGGATTGATTCATTTGCAGGTGAGAAGTTTAATCCTACGGAGAATATCTAACTCTTTGGCATTCCTTTTGCTCTGTACTGCGTACAGTGTTTACATTGAATAATGACAAATTAGTTTGAAATAAAAAAAAAGCAGTGCGATCAGTTTCCGTATCTGAGGTATCTGTAAAATTAGATACAACATTTCATATAATATTAAATATTTTAGAACGTTGAGAGTGCGAGAACTGCATTATGTGACTTTGATTGAATTTTTAGATTTCTCAAATTGTATATTGATGAACTAGCTCCCTCGCTATTGATCATGCAAGAGTAGAATTATCTACTGATTATTTGCAGACGCACTGAATATGTTTTCTAATTATTGTCAATTTTTCATAGCATAAAATCAATTAAATTAAAGAATATGGTTTTACTGTTTCACGTTATGTGTTTAGGGCAGCAGAAGTGATGATTACATGGCCATGTTTGTTGGTTTTCACATTTTTTTAGATGTACTAATGTTGTGAGTAATTTATTCAAATAACACACAAATTCTGCAACCGTTTGTTTTCTACCATGTTCTGATTCGGTTTTAAGACTGTTATATGAGTATTGATTAATGACAATATGTTTTAATTGCAATAAACGTCAGATTTTAAATTTCTTACTTTATGTATATGAAAACATAGGCACCAAGTGGGCTCTTGTATTACATGATGTATTCCTTGATATGCTGAATAAATCCGTTTAATTTCAATTTTAATTCACCGTTCTGGTTACTACGGGAATACCTTGCATTGAGGCAGTTCCATCTTCAGGGACAGTAAGCCTTGTATTCCATGAAACAGAATTAAGAACCTGCATATGTATGTATACACGTAATAATGACTGAGGGCCGCTGATGTCACAGATCCATCCATTACGCACACCAGGAACGGGAAAAGTTCTGGAAGGATGGCTTCACAGATTCACCAATGTGGTTGTTCCTTGGCAAAGATCGACACTTCAACATAAACTGAAGCATTAGTTTAAAATTCCGGTGAAATTATTGCGATAAATCCCATTTCCATACATAGGACTTCCATTTCTCCAACCTTTACATACAATGGCCTTTGATATGTGGGGATATTCTAGGTCCATACCCAGAAATTCTGTATGGAATTTTTATAAACACTTGTAAACATAGCGAGGTTACGAATCTTTAAGATTAGGCCACAGAATGATAACCGTAATCAAATTTGTAACCGAGTTGTTTTGAAAAGCCGAAATAGCTTAATACAGCAATAATACAGGCATACTTCGGATATATTCGGTTCCAGATCACTGCAATAAAGCGAATCACACGAATGTTTTGGTTTCCCAGTGCATATGAAAGTTATGTTTACACTACACTGTAGTCTAGTAAGTGTGAAATAGCATTATGTGTAAGAAACACCATGTACAAACATTTAATAAAAATACTTTATTGCTAAAATTCCTAATCATCATCTGAGCTTTCGGCGAGCCTCCATATTCTTGCTGATGGAGGGTCTTGCCTTGATGCTGATGGCTGCTGACTGATCAGGGTGCTGGTTGCTGAAGGTTGCGGTGCCTGTGGCAATTTCTTAACATAAGACAACAGGGAAGTTTGCTGGATCGATTGACACCTCCCTTCACGACAGAATTCTCTGTAGCATGCGATGCTGTTAGACAGCATTTTACCCATAACAGAATTTATTTCAAAACTGGAGCCAGTCCTTTCAAACCCTACCGTTCCTTATCAGAAGCCTAGCTTTCGGCCTATCTCGGCTTTCGACATGCCTTCCTCACTGTACTTAATCATTTCTAGCTTTTGATTTAAAGTGAGAAACGTGTGGAACGGTTAGGGGCCATATAAAGGCGCGATTCGTGGCAGCCCAAAATAATTACAATAGTAACATCAAAGATCACTGAGCACACATCACCATAACAGGTATAACAATAAGGAAATTTTGAAATATTGCGAGAACTACCAAAATGTGATACAGAGACACGAAGTGAGCACACACTGTGGCAGAAATGGCGCCGATAGACTTGCTCGACGCAGGGTTGCCAGAAACACACAACGAGATTACATAAAGGCTCTTATAATGGTGATGACTTTTCATTTTAAATAGAATTCTAAATATAAAACCTTCTTAGTGTCACGACATGTCCAAAAATTCTCGACTGTACGCAGACTGGTGTGTCCGTCATATCCGAAATCCGTTATAACGAGAGGATACTGTAATTAAACAAACGTGAGGTGTTAACCCTATGCTATTTTCGTATGTCGATAAGAATCTGCAACGTTCATCTCAAAGGAACAACGGAAGATAGCTCCAAATGCCATATGTCACAGTGGAGTACATTACGTTACCAGAAATTACGCTATGTTTAAGATTGCTTAACTTGTTTCTTTCGCGAGTGCAATATAAATACTGCCAATCACAGCCGTAAATTTCAGTACCTAGACAAAATTCTGACGATGTAAAAAGATACAATTACCAATGCTCTAAATTATGTAATTAAGCAACATGCCATGAAGGCGTATGAGACAGACGTGGTATTGCTGCATCATTCTTGACCTCGGCCCTAGCCTGAGATGAGGGGTTAATTGCACACCCATGTTTCTTTACCCCCGGAACACATTGAACAGGAGACTCTAGGCCTAGGAGGACCTAGAGCCAGTCTGAACGCTGTGGAGAGGAGAATAATTTCTTGCCCTGCTGGAAATCGAACCCCAGTCGTTTACAGCGACGGATATACCCCCGCTCATGCTCTGACGATGTACTGAATCTAATTTAAGACCTTGTAAAATATACTTTGTAGCCGGTCACGGTAGCCGAGCGGTCTAAGGCTTGCACTGTCTTCGTTCGCTCGGAAGCCGGGATCGTGGGTTCGAATCCCACTCAGGGCATTGATGTTTGTGTGCGCTTTTCTGTGTTTGTCTACAGGTAGAGGCCTTGCGACGAGCTGATCACTGGCCCAAGGAGTCCTACCGTCTGTGTAAGATCTAGAAAAACCGAAGTGAACAGAAGTTCATGGAGGTAGGCCCACTGTGGCCTAGGAAAAAAAAATAAATACTTTGTGCAATGACAATTTGTTTCAATTAAAATGAGGATCATGTGGTGTTGTTGTTGTTCTTGTTCTTTTTTTTTTACTAGATCTAACATCAGGCATGCAGATAAAGTCTTTGAACACCAAACATTAAATCTGTCTAGCCGTCCAAGCGCTACAGAGGCGCACATCCGTCCGTTCATATTCATGCATGCCTACACACGAGGGAGAGTAAGTAAATAAGTCACAAATCAAAGTAAAACTTCTGTAATGGACGTAGCAGGTTTTCTGTGTGTATCATTATGTAACGTCAGAAGTATGTACAGGGCAGGTTCGATCAGGGCAGTGGCAGAAGAAATCTTAAAATATAAGTTAGATGTAGCGGGAGTACAGGAGGTCAGATGGGACGGATGGGACGGAGGTGGCATCGCACCAGCAGGCGAATATACATTTTTCTATGAAAAGGGGAATTAAAATTATGAATAAGGTACGCGCTTTTTCATACATACGAGAATATCAACAGTTAAGAGGGTATTGTTCGTTAGTGATAGGATATCACATAATACTAAAAGGTCCCTGCTGTGATATCATTGTTACGAATGTTCATACCCCAACAGAAGATAACATTTATGACATAAAGGACAGATTCTATGAAGAACTAGAATACGTATTTAATAAATTCCCGAAGTATCCGATGAAAATTTTGTCAGGAGATTTCAATGTCAAAGTAGGGAGAGAAGACATTTTCAAACCAACGGTTGGGAATGAGAGTTTGCATGAAATTAGTAATGATAATGGAGTTAGAGTAGTAAACTTTGCCACATCGAAATGTCTTACTGCAAATAGTACAATGTTCTCACATCGTAACTACCATAAATTTACTTGGACATCTCCTGATGGAAATGAACACAATCAAATAGACCATATTTTGATAGATAGGAGAGGGCACTCAAGTATACTTGATGTCCGATCGTTCAGGGCAGCAGATTGTGATACTGACCACTACCTGGTGGTGGCAAAGTTTAGGGAAAGACAGGCAGGAAGCAAAAAACAACATATAGAGTTCATATGGTGAGGTTCAATCTCAAGAAATTAAATGAGGTAGAGGGTAAAGAGCAGTATCATGTTGGAATCTCAAATAGGTTCGCGGCTTTGGAAAACTTGGACATTGAGCTGGATGTTAATAAAGCATGGGAAACTATTACAGAGCATATAAACATTTCTGACAAGGAGAGTCTAGTTATTATGAACTGAAGAAGCATAAGCCATGGTTCGATAAAGGATACTCAAAATAATTATACCAAAGGAGACAAGCCGAATTGCAGTGGTTACAGGAGCCAAGCGAAATAAATGGGGATAACTTGACAAAATAAATAACCAGCTGGCATTTCAGAAATAAAAAGAGGGAAAATATGACAGACAAAATTGATGAATTTGCAATGAAAAGTAAGAACAACATTAGAGACCACTACATACCAGTACATCAGCTATTCATGGACTTTAGTAAAGCCTACAATTCAGTTAAGAGGAAATTATTGTACAATATTCTGATAGAGTTTGGGATACTCATGAAACTAGTTAGGCTGGTTATAATATTTTTAAACGAAACGTATAGTAAAGTCGGTACAGGTAAATGTTTGGTTCATAAATTTCCCATCCAGAATGGTCTAAAGCGTTTTGCCGATATGAGCGCATAGAGCTAACATTCCTGAGTCGATATATATATATATATACACACACGATGGGGTACCCAAAAGAAACCGAACTAATTTTTTTTGTGGGCAGAGCTTTTGTAGCACCAC